GCAGACTTCAGTCAGGAAAGGTAGTGGAGGTCGCCAGACACCCAGGGAAGCTTTCCCCGTTATCCTGGGAAAGCAGTCCACCTCTCACCTCAAAAAGGACACCATAAAGCAAGCAAAATCTCAACTTCTTGTTTCAGGAGGTACACAGAATTGCAAACCTACTACTGATGCAACAAGCCTCCTGCTCACGATGGCAGGAAACCCGACGACTGGGATGCACTGTCACGCTGACAAAATGATCAGGAGCAGAAACAGAAAAGCTAGGACCTCGGCGACACCGGAGCAGGCGAACCAGCCCTGCAGTGCCAACCTGGAACTCCTGCAGTGTAAAGCACGCAGTACCCTGTGTGTTCACGCCACGTCGCTGGGTTCCAGTCACTTGTGGTTAAACTTACTCCTGGCACAGTCACTGAATGCTGTACTCCCCTGAAGGGCCGGGACGTGTGAGGCCCGGAGGAAATCTTTCCCCTCCCTGCTCTCTTCACTCCCGCTGTTCATCCACCCAGTAAATACCACCTGAGCACTGACCTGGCACTGGGGTCCCGAGGTGGCTGGAAACAGACGAGGTCCCTTCCCCCAGGGAAGTAAGACGTTGGTCCAAGCACACAGGTCAGGGGACTCGGGTTATGAAACCCTGGGGAGGGGCGGGTGCGGACCTCCGAGCAGCCCAGGGCAGCCTCCCTGCGGCCGTGACACTGATCTGGCCAGAAGGTGGACGAGAGCGATGGCACAAGGGCTCTGGGAGAGGGAACGGGACGGATGGAGGAGCGCCAAAGCGGGCGACAGCTGAAGAGGCACGTGCTGCTCAACGTCTGTGTTTTTACTGACTATTTCCGCCTTACGTCCAGGAGGGCGGGGCGGAACACGCTGACCGTGTCTTCACACTTGAATAGTATGCCATCCCGACCGAGGTGTGCCGCCTCCGGTTCACCACTTCCCCGCTGCCCCGCGCCTTCCCTCCCTCCCTGTGAGGCAGAGTAACAAGGTACCTCCCTCAGGGGAGGACCTACTGCGGTATCACACCTACAGGTCACTCAGCACAGGGCCACTCACAGAGCGGCCCGGGGGAGGGTTCACAGCTCAGGGGTAGAGTGTGTGCCTGGCATGCACAAGGTCCCCGGTTCAATCCCAGCACCTCTGTCAAAATAAATAAACAAAT